GTGACGTGACGCCTTTGTGGGTTTGAAGTATACAATTAATCAAACCACTCAGATTTAGAAAAACTAAGAGTCCCAACATAATTATAATATATTAGACATTCAAGTAAAATGTGATTTTGCGTGTCACTTAAGGTGAATTTTCGAACATATTGCTGTTCACTTATTTAGATATCAACCAGGTTAAATAGTCTTTAAAGGACACGCGTGTCTGCAGAGAGCAGCGACCTTTGCGTCAGAGACGCTGGTGACAGGTTTTCTCAGTCTCAGGTTGAAGCTGGAGATAAAGGATCGGCTCATTCTGGATGTGTAAACATGTTGTACATTATAGTCACTTGTGATTGTTTCCTCTCAGAGTCGTTGTGGGTCTAGATTCACTTCAAACTTGTATCTGGTTTGGATTGAGGTCGTGGGAGGAGTTGGCTGCTGGTTCACATCCACAGAGGAGGAGGAGGAGGAGGAGGACAGGGCTCTCCTTTAGGACTCTCATTTTCTTCGGGGCTATAAAAACGTTCTGCCTTCAACACACAGCAAATCAGCTCCATTGGCAAATTATTGCATCACAAAGCACCGCTCCGCTAATCGTTGCGCGATTAGAGTCTCTCTTTTTTTTTAATGGTGACATCAGGTTAAAGCAGAGTGGATCCCGGTTGAGATGATGGAGTACATGGAGGATAAGTTTGCCTTGAAAAGTCAAGCGATGAAGGCCAGCGACTACTACATGGACCAAGTCATGGAGAGTCTGGACAGCGCGCAGTACTTCACCAAGTCCTCCACGAAGTGCGCGCAGGCCTTCGGGCTCCAGAGCGGCGAACATCGCTCCTCGCCCTGCGGAGACCAAAACGGTGCGTACACACTTTGTGTTGTCTGACTCTGACACTCTGTGCATCATCCGCGTGGTTTGAGAGGAGCTGGTCTGCACCTGGACCAGAGCTAGAGACAGAAGAAGTCCAGTCTGAGGACATTTATCATGCAGTCCCGTTATCTTTTCCTTCTGTCCAAAACTTTTCACATGCGTGATTCAAATTCAGATATCCTCCTTAGATGTAATTATTCTTGAAATTATTTTATGTCTTCGTCATTTTTAATAGTTCAAATATTTAAAATAATTTCGGACATTTTAATGCCAGGAATATTTTAAAATAATAAATTTAAAATGATGATAG